GGGGGTAGGAGGTGTTTGTGGGATTTTGGAACCATCCCTACATTTGCTTTGTGACTGAAGGCAACCACAAAACCTCGGTCAGGATGGCCTGCCCAGGGATCGAATCCAGACCTCCCGATTGCGAATCCAGCGTGCTATGCACTGAGCTACTGCACTCAGTACAATATATAGAACATTTACCCTTGTGATATGGCCCCTGCATGTTAAGGTTATTTTTCTTAATTATGTTACTACAAAAATGCAAGATGTTGCATAATTTCTTTTATCAATAGTCTTCCTTTACTAAATTTAAACTATTAACCAAATTGACATTTTCAACATTTTTATGGAATGTATTTAATTACAGATGCCAAGATCCAGTTGATGCAAGAAAAGGCAGAATTGGTGAACAAATCCACTTAATGGGAAGAGCCAGCACACTCCTAGGATTCATATAATGTCAATTAAAGACCTTAAATCAAGTCAATTATTAATAGTACCATAGAAATTGATCTTTCACCCCACACTGTAAAATGTTTTAGTGAGTTGGCCATCATGAGATGTTAACCAAAATTCATGTCTGTTTCATTATCCTTCTGTTGTGCCTGTTTTGTTTCACATGAGTATGCAGTAGCAGATCCAGGGTGAGGGCATGGGAGCCATGGCCCTTCCCAAATGGCCTAGAGATTTAGTTGTTACCTTCTTTTATTTGACGAAATTGATTTAAATATTTACTTCAATTATTTATTAGAATTATGTCATTATTTTAAAAACTTAATATTGTGTAGTATCAAGTATACTCTACAAAAATAATATATTTTAATAAGAAATCTTTATTAAATTAACAATAATCTATGATTGCCCTCTCCAAAATGACCAGCTGGATCCACCCCTTTGAATATGAGCACCTCAAGTAATGGTTGAACAATCAAATAGAATAGATGTTGCTTTGGAATTGTAGAAATAATTTGTGACATTCTTTTTCTAATAGTGAGAACAAGTAAAAAAATACTGAATCCTTTTTTTTTTAAGTTCCAATATAAAAGACAATTTAAAAAATTGTAATAAATATGTAATAATTCCTTGAATAATGAATAAATGAGATGGAGCTCACTGTATTTTACGAATTGAAATTGAATTGATTACATATTACATCAGACTCTAATTCCTCCACCAGTTCACAAAATCTCCATCTTTGTTTATTCCCCCTCATCTTTCATTCAATTATTTACTGCAAACACAGCAAAGTGATTAGATTTTCTGTAGATCATCACAAACACCAATTTTTAAAATAAAATATACTCCAAACACTAGAGTGAATGTGTACAAAAATAATAACTGCTGGTAATAAAAAAATTACTTACTTAATTTAGCACTATACTATTTCTAGTGAAAAAATTCTTAGATTATTATATACACAAAGTAAAGTTTAACAAACAAGTGCAATGGGATCTTTATCTTAATTATTGTAGACAGTAAAATTATTCACATTATGACATAATATGGTTTATTCAATTTTACATTGTACATTTCCACTTAACACAATGAAATACAATTGCAGGCAAATCTTCTCATACATCCCCTTCTTCAGGCATGTATCAAAGATTGTCAGTAACAACCAGGGATATGATAGAATATAACTGTAGAGCAAAAATATTATGATAAACAAAAAACTAATCACAAAAGCACAAGAAATAAGTATGGAAGACAACACTATCAAGATGCACCTTACATAATTTTGATTAAAGACATGTATATTTCACAGCAAGATGTTGGCATCAACTGATATCAAAAGTGATTAAAACTTATAGATGTCATGTTTACACAATAAATAAGAGTATCCTTCACCCTGAGGAAAGTTGCAGTATGACAGCTGAAATGTTGGCAACTGTGCCTTGTGCATGACGTCTTCTCTACAGCCGAGCATGTATAGAGTAACTGTAAGCTTGTGTTAATTTGGAGAGCAAAAATGTTTTGTAACCTGTTGACCTAGCACTATTAATATAGGTTTGATGATGCTCTTATAGGTAACATCTTAATGTAGATACTAGGCTCTATGCCACTTTTTTAAGTGACTGAGTTTTGTGCCATAAAAGAAACAGTAGTCTTTTTTATTAAAATTGAATTTTTTGGTGTCCATTTGCTCTACTTTGTATCAGCAGAGTTTTCATTCAAATGTTGAACATAAAATGGTTCATTGAATCAATTTAGATTGAAGAAAAACATCATATAATTCACAAGTTTATAAACAGAGTGAATTTTTAAAAAATAGTTTCTATTAATATTCAAGATCAGTGACATTGCTAGAGATAGTATCAATGGAGGTGGTAATGTGACAGAATAAACCTTGAATATATTCTTAACTATTCTAACTATTCTATGATAGTGTTACCTCTCTATTAATTATCTTCCCCTCTTCATAAAGACTCTTAAATCCAACAACAGGTGCTGACTGATAAGAGAGGGTTTCATTCGTCTCTTTGGTTGCATTAAGTCAAAGATAATATTATGTATAAAAATTATTATTGATGTTTAAATTTATTCTTTTAATATATAATTCATTAATAAATATATTATAAATAATTAATATTATTGAACATTAATATGTTTCCTGAAACCTAGATTTTAGTAAAATATACAACAATAATATTGTTTATTTATAAGTTATACAAGGCAAAACTGGGCAATTTGATGAAATTTTGGATTTCTTTAAATGGATGACAGTTTTGTTAACACAGACATGCAAATTGCATTATCTTATGGGAAAATTTATAAAAATTATTAAATTTAAATAAATTCAGTTTATCATGGATTAATGATTCACATTTTGACCAATTTTTGATAAAAATATTTGATAAATATAATTTTTCACCAAAGAACATGAAAAACTATTTTAAGAATTTATCTAATGTCATTCATTTAACATGTTTTTGCCATTTCTTTGGTATCTTTCTACTTCATATTTTTCAATCCAGACTTTTTCTTATGTCTTTATTTCCTATTCTTTCCTTTTGTACAGTCCTATTAGTAATCTCAGATATCCCATCTGGGCTGCATCAAATCTATTTCTGTCTCTTTTTTTACAGCCCACATTTTGCTTCCATGTAATAGAATGGTTTTACACTCAACCTCTTTTTAAAAAGAAATATTACTTACAAAATTGCCATTGCCATTATCGTAAACATTCTGATGTCTATGATAATATACTAATTTCTAAAACTAGTCTAATAAGATTATTAGAAATGAATATTCACAAGAAGAGCTCAAAGAAGATATGTGACAATCATAGGGACATTACATTGCTACCAACAGCTTCTAAGCTATATGCAAACATGCTGAGGAACAGACAAAATGAAATATGTAAGAATTTCATGAGAGAAGAGCAGTGTACCAATTTTTATAATATTTATTAATTATGAAAAAAGCTTACGTCAAAGTTAAAAGACAGAAACTCTGAGAAATACTAGAAGAGGAGAAAGTTCCAAATCAGTTGTTCAATGTAATAAAAAGTCTCTATAAGAACTCAAGAATTAAAATACTGTTAAGAGAGGGAAAAAAGTCAGTAGCAATAACTACCAACAGTGGCTCAAAACAAGGATGTGAATTATCACACATCTTCTTCAACATATATATTAACCACTTGGTGAGAAACTGGAGAAGGAAAGTTAGACAAGGGATACAGATCACAAAAGGCAAGAAGATAGATACAATCTTGTATGCTGATGACCAAACTATCGTAATGGATTCTGAAGGTAACTTACAAAGAACAGTTTTTGAATTGACAAAAGTGGCCAAAGAATATTCCATGAAGATAGCAGTTCATAAAAGGTTATGGGCCAGGAACAAAGGAGAGCCAAAATAATAATAAATGGAAAATTAATGGAACAAGTATATAATACCTTGAAAATATAACTTGATACATTGGAAATATCATAAGTATATACAACCAAACTCAGTTAGACATAGAAAACAAACTTAATAATTACAATAGAAGATGTGGAACAATTAAGAGACACTTTGGCAGAGACATGGATCCAGAAACAAAACTGAAACTCCACAATACCGCTGCTAAACCTAGAATTGTGTATGACTCTGAAAATGGGTAATGAAAGAGAGAGACCATCACAAGAAGAGACAGACTGTGAAATAAAGACGTCAGAAAAAAATTGAAAACCAAATTGTTAGTAAAAGAGATACAACTGTCTCAAAAGAGATGGAAAGATCACTTACAGAGAATGAACAACAACAGATTTCCAAAATGGAATCTGGAAGTAAAAACCAATAGGGATCAGAGATATAATTTTTGCATTTTCCGTTGCATGTTTTCAAACCCTCCTAAACTGGTAGTTGAATAAAAAGGACGGACCCAGCCTAGGCACAAATCTATGATAAATTCCTTTTTTTTTTTTTTTATTATTATTATGGATTTTTAACCGTAAGTCTTCTTACTCTACCTTGTATAAAATTAATTAGCATTCCATGATATTGTATTTAATAAGAGAATTGAATGTTAACTTTAATTTATGTCTTGTATTTAATTTTTAGAAATATCTGTATTGCGTATTGTATGATTATGAACATATCCTGACATGCATCGTGTATGCTGCATTTATGTGACAAATATATTATTATTAATGAAATTCCAAATAAGTACGTGCTAAGTGAATTTGGGCTTATAAATTAAATATTAATATGGTTCCAGGATAAATTAAAATGCCGTTTTCATCTTTTGTGTCAAAATAAGTTAAATAATTGACAGGAGAACGATTGCCCTTTGTCATATTGTATGAGAAAAAAAGTTTGGAATATAATTTGATAATTTCATACACAATTGTTTTAAAGCAAGTTAGACAACAGGTTTTTCAGGTAAATTACATCTTCAGGTTATCTAATGAGACTAAAACAGAATTTGAGAATTTAAGTAAAACTAGATACAATTATAGGTTATGTGGAGCTGACCAATAGAAACTCCGTGTACTTCGAAAAACAGCGAAAGATCTATTCATATGTAACCTCATTGCCATCGGGACATGGTGGTTGTGTTGACGTGTCAGCTGTCGGCTTACATAGGAGGTTACGGGTGTACATCAATGAAAAATTAAGTAACTTGCAAAATGTTGACGAAATTTGAAACAAAGTCAGCTCGTGTGAAAGGCTTGTCGTTTCACCCGAAACGTCCATGGGTTTTGGCAAGGTAAGTGTCAGATGACCTATAACAGGTGTTGATACATGCTGTCTTTGCAGTGAGAAAATGTAGATTTTATTATTTCTTTGAAGATTCTAATGAATGCGTATGCTCAACGGATTTGCCTGTTGGAGTGCCAAAAACGAATGGTTATTCGTATTTTCTCAGTTGAAAATTAATGTCGAAAAATCTCGTAGCTGGTTGCTGAGGAATGTTGATTGCTTTCAATTCGATTTCTGCAGATGACATTAACCATTCCCGAGTGTATGCTAAATGTATTTCCAGTCATTTACTTGTTTCTGTGTCATTGTGTAATTTTCTCTTGTTAAGAAATGACGTTAAGGTTATTGTACTGCCTCAGATCATTTTTGTATAGAAGTGAGCATTTATTGAAATCCTGAAGATGTAGTTGAAAAAATAATGTACGTTTTCTTTATGTTGATTATATACAATTTTAGGTCGTTGTCATTAGTTGTTGCTTATCCTAATGCAATTGATTTGTTAGAGCGGGGAAAGGTTATGTTTGTAGTTATTGAAATCTAATTTGATTCAATTTGTATTGCGTACAAAATATAAAAATTTTAGACTATTGTTTTGTTGACTGTGTGTTTAAATTTCAGCTATGAGGAATGTGATGGCATGAAGTCTATTACAAATAAAAGTTAGAGCAATGTGTACGTGCATAAGGTTTATAATTGTCGTGACATGTCTTAAGTTGCGTAAAACCAAGTGGAAACAAGAGATAACATATGAATTGATGTTCCATCAAACTTGCAGTTTAACAATTGTATAATCCTGTTGCGGGTTGTTTGTTTTTGACCATTATAAAAATGAATTTATAGCAATTTTCAGTTTCAAATCATCCTCATATGTCACAGAAGAATGGTAATACAATTTGACTGCATAAGAATTAATTTCAATAAAAGAAAACTTCCAAGTGATATGTAATGTTCTGTGGCCTGGAAGGTGGATTATGACTGCTTCACAGTCTAGGTACATGTTATAACTTCAGATAACATAATTTGAGGCACCAGAGACTGTTATTTTAGGAAAATTGGTGCTAAAAACTTGGAATAATATTGTAAATTCACCTCTGATGTCTATGTATCTTCTATCTTTTATTTCTTCAAGAACTTTACTTCAGATGCTTCTCATTGATAGACACATTTGGTCTCTGATTCATAAATGTATTTTACACTCACGTGAGTTTCAGAAAGAAATCACAACTTGTTATTTCAGGATGAGGAATGTCAGATTATTATAAATTATGTAATATTTCTTTATGTAAGTTTTGAGAAAACTGAAGGAATTTTGTTTTGCTGATCACTATTGAGGTTTTTTGCTGCAATTTATTTTAGTAATTCCATGAAAAAGGATGAAATATGTATGTTCCATGAATTTCTCTGTGTTCCTCGACTGTGGTAAGACTTTAAAAAATTTAGTGTTCTGATTTAATAGAAGAAAAAATAACTCCCAAATTATATTAATCTAATATTAATTAAGATATTTGTTTCCTTTGTATTGTTTAGCAACTTACATCATTTGTCTCTATTGAACTTTTTCCGAGCTGTACACTAACTGATAGCTATCAACTCGTAAGCTTTGATTTTCTTTGTGGTATTGCACCTTTAACATTTTATTATGGTTACTGGTAATGGTGTGTTAATACCCTTTATAAATATTACCTTTAATCTGGGGGGAATTGAAGACATTAATTATTGTTGAATTTACCTAATGTTATTTTTAAGTCTATCCATTTATATAACTTACTGAAATAACTTTACTTCTTATAGTGTTCACTGTAGTTCAAATAGAAAGAAAACTTCAATCAATTTTTGAGAGTTTTTTAAAAATAAAATTCTTTTCAAGATACGCAGCCAAAATCAACATAAAACGAACACCAACCAACTGGAAAGATCTGAAAGTTTACATAAGAGGATTATCAAAATCATAATGATTGATAATATGCTTTTATTAGTGTGTTATTTTCTAAGTTACATTATCTTTATATTGTTACTTTAATTAGATATGAAACAACCTGATTTAGTTAATTTTTTCATGAATTGTTTAAATATTTGAAACATTTAAAAGATTTTATATACTTAAATGTGAAACACAATGACATTTTTTCTCACATTTTTCCTCGAATATCACATACATTGAAACGTGTGTGAAAATATGTTTAGAGAAAAGTTTGTAACATTGCTATCATAGAGCTCCTTTCAAGACAATGTCAGACTATTCCTGTCAGTCTCTTTTATTTTTCAGTGATTGTTCATAAGATGTTTCATTGTCATTTGGATATTGTCAAGTCTATTGAAACTGTAAGCTGTTGGGGAACTTAAGTCAACTTTGATCAATGGTTCATCTCTGCACCTTGGGGTTTTGGAGAGACATTTCTTCTTGGAGAAACTCACTTCTCATAGTTTCCTTCATAAGTTGTCAGGTTCAGTATGTATACAAGTATAGTGGATATATTGCAGTATTTTCAATTGCCATTGTTCATTTAAGTAAAGTTTCTCTTTAAATTTGTTACCTAATTGAAAATAGCATTATTCAGCAGCATCATTATTAGTTTTATTGTTTTTTCATCATTTGTTTCCAGAAATATTTGCCTAGTGGTTAGGTATAGTTATTGACTAATACTTCTGTTGTATGAAAATGAAATCAGCACTGTGTGATAGACATGTTTGTTAGCAATGTCCACTAATTTGATGTTTTAAAAAGAAAGTTCATATGTTCACATCTGGCTTAATGGAGAAGATTTAACGACCTTTATGTCTACCAGATTTTATATCTTGAGGACTTCCAATTAAAATATTAAAATACAAACATACATTCAGGAACATGAATTAATGGAAGTAATGAACGTTTCAACTTGGAAGTCACAGATGTTTCGACATGGACGTCAGTGGCATAGTTACGGGAGGGAGGGTGGGTGGTTTTCGTCCCCGAGTGATTCCATTTTGAGGGTGACACAGAGTAGAAAATTTTATAGTTGGAAGTATATAATGATTTATTTAAAAATTATATTAAAATAATATTTTGAATTACATACAGTTGTCAGTGTATTATAAAAATAAATGTCATGTGCTAACATACTTGTTTTTTTATTAAATAATGTTAAAACTATTCGGTAATAAATATTTTGATATTTAATATATGGCGGGGGGATGATACCACTTAGTTTTGCTCTGGGTGACACCGACTGAAGCTACGCCACTGATGGAAATCATGGATGTTTTGCCATGGGAGTTGAAAGGTCAAACGTGTTGATTCAACATGAACTTCCTTTATTTCATATTCCTGTAAAACTGTATATAGTAAATGGAAGACCTCGTGATGTGAAGTCTGCTATACACAAAAGTTATTAAACCTGCATCAGTAAAAAAAATGTTTTGCTGGTGAGGGTCTTTATATTTGAAAAAGCTTTGCAGTTTTGTTTATGTAAATGACTGAATGATATGATATATTAATGACATTTTCTAAAGTTTCTCCTCGATTCAGTCATTTAATACGACTTTTGCCAAACATGGAATATGGTGATTTCTGTATTAGAGTGTAACAAATGCACTCGCAGCATTGTTACACCAGCTTTTGTATTATTTGTTGCATTTGAAATATACCTGCTAAGATTTTTGAATCTTTAATGTGTAATTCAGTTTTTAAATAATAAATAAAAAAATGTTATGCTTTGCAGAAACTTTAATGTGGATTTTGAGTTTCTTAATAAGTTTTATATTTAGTCGAATTCAGTATTTTCCAAACATGCTATATTTATTATAAATGCATTTAAACATTCCGTATTTGGATTTCTGTTGTATTAAAATACATATTATTTCATAATCAAGTATCAAAGATCTTAACTTAGGAGGCCATGTGTCTCTGTTTTTGTATTAACGAATTTAAGTATTCAAAATAACTCAATATTGGAAAATCACAGTATTCTTCATTAGAAAATCTAAGCTTGTATATTTGTTATAAAGATAACTGATTTGAACTTACTTATTATATATTTTGTTTACATACTTCAATGCAATTGTTTTTAGTAATCTGCATTTGGCATAGATTTCTTAGGGAGATACTTTTCTCTTTATGATCTAACCTCACTATAAAGTTTAGCATAAAGTGTCTTGGAGGATAGTATATTGACTACAATTTTCAGTAGAAATTAATTCTTTTGTGTTATATACGGCTACATCGGCTGTGATGTACGTCCAGCTGAGCATGTGGTTCTATTTAACTTCCGCAAAACACATGCTTTCAAGTGTGTTATGTATTTGCTTCATTTGGTTAAAATAAAGTAATTTTAAGAAAATACAATTTGGGTTAGAGCACATCGCAAGTACATTTTCAGAAAGGCAACTAATGTTGATGTTACTGTTATATGAAGATCACTGAGGCCAAAGTTGAGAAACAACTGAATGATCCATTATCCAATCTAAGCTGGATCATTTATTGCTCCAGACTTACCTCTTCCATCTTCAATAAAGTGAAATTCAACGAAAACATGACATTTTTCCAAATCTTCGTAATTTGTATTCATTTTTCACATTTGTTTTAAGCTGGTTTAATAGGAATGTTTGAGAGTTTGCTGCCGTTTGCAAGCAACTTATTGCAAAGCCATAGGCAATATTAATTTTTAAAATTTACTTGTGCACTTTTATTCTGCAAATCTTTCCAATTTCCTGCTTGTTGTATTAAAAATTGCTTTGTTCATTTTTGGGTCTTGCATGGTCAGTAATTGATGCATTCTCAGTGTTTGGTTACTTCACATACTATCTGTGCCTTACTTATTGCTTTCTTGTAGGTTTTTTTAAAAAAAACAAACAAGCAAAGCCACTGTAAATTTTTCTCAATAGCATTACATTTTACTGTAGACAATGCACTTCTGAAAAGCCTACAGTGGAGGTACTGCAAAGGCACTGATAGTGGTGAACACCACAGTAGAAGGAAATGTAATTATTCTCAAACTATTATTACTTGTTTGTTTATTTAATGTCAAATCACCAAATCCTATGTAACTATTGGATGGGAGAATCTGTAAACAATTTCTGGATTTCACAAAACTGCTCTTTTTCTCTCCTTTATTATCATAAGTTGAATTGTGAACTTTATTGTAATTTTCTATCAAGAAATATTTGGTCCCATATAATGGAAATTGTTTCGCAAAAAAGTTTCAGATTTTGGCTTTTATTCCTTGTAGTATCCAATGCAAAGGAATTGAAAAACTGCCATGAGGACATGTATGATTATTTGGTGGCATTGCTGACGACTCCTACTTCTGGACACATTCACATTAATTTTCTAGCATGCATTAACTCTTGAAATTCATTGGCCATTAGGACTATAGACTGCTTTTCACTAATGGGTCAAAATGAATGATTTTTGGTGATGTAATCAGTTAGTTATAACTTGCCTAAGGTAAGAATATCCCTTAGAAAAATGACAAATAATAATTCTACTATTTTTGATTTGAATAACATTGTAATACTCTTCTAAAGTTGTACATCAAATAAGTTTTTCAATATGCTATGCTTTTCTTATACTTTGAGTCACAACTTCCTAATTTTCCATTTTTCTATAACTTGATGGGATCACCTTGAACCCTAGTCTTTCTGTCTTGATCTATTACGATACCCATTTGTCTAAGACTTGTCTTTGTCAAAAGGGTACACAAGACATTGGAGGTCATCATTTGTTCATGCCTGCCTCAAACAACAAAAAAACTTATTGATTATTTTTCTGAGGAGTATTAATTGAATGAGTGTATTGATAAACTGTTGTGTAATATTTGATTAATTCATATACTGGTAATCATTAAATTGTATGATTTATTCTCATTTAAAATGAAATGTTAATTTGTTGGTAATTGAGTTTTCTTTTGAGAACAATCCGTACGTGTAAATGGAGGTAAAAAGGCCCATAAAAGTCCTATTGTTGTTGAAAATAACTATTAATCTAACATTAATTATATTGCATTCAGAATGAATTTAATTTTGTGTGATTTGTTTTATTCTTGGGTTAATGCATTTTCCTGGGATCATATCCACACTTGTTAGTAGGTTTTCCTTTCTTAACTTTCCCCACTGATTTTTAGAGCTTTGGTGGTAATTTATATCACAATTTGATTTGAAGCTAAAATTGTTTGCTTTCACTGCCTCTTAAAACAAAGTGGAGTAAAACTTGCCCAATATGGAACGTGTATAATATTGAAATCTGTGGCATGTAGACATAAATCACGGTCAGAGTAAACATAAATTCTAGTTATATTTAAACTTCAATTATGTCCACTTCGTGTAGATTCTCACAAAATATATGGCCATCAGATATTGTATGTGTCTTTATCAATTTCTTTTTATGAATTAATTGTTGCTAAAATGTTGTGTAATTTATATTTGTTGTAGCCTGATGTAGCGGAATAACACTCTGAAGTTTTGTTAAACTAATTTTTTGAACTGACAATATTATTTTAATTAAATAATAATAAAAGGACTGGTCCCGCATTCCCCCCCCCCCCTCCAATTTCAAGACTGTCATTGAACCTGATGGCTATATATTCTGTGAGAATAAATTCTACAGTATTGCATGGTATAATGTGGAATCTTGTCTAATACAGAAAAAAGTACTGGTCTCTGGAGATTCTGAAATGAGGACTTTTCATTGTATTATATTTTTCTTCACTAAAATGGAATAGAGATATTTGGAGGTGCTTACAAATTTATGTGAACAAATATATTGTTAATGTAACACATTTTAATTTAAATTTTCACCTACTACATGAAATACATCTTTTGTCTTCATTCTCTCTTAAAAATATTCTCATTCTTTTAAATAACATTATTGTGAGTTACAAAATTGTGTAGTTCAAATAAGTATTACAATTTCTTTCTAGTAAATATTGAATGTGTTGTGCCCATGTGTCACACATTTAACAGTAAGGATTGCATCATGCACTCTCTGCCAAGTCTGTATCGTCATCTTGTGTAGTGGTTTCTGCAGCTGTTGCTTCTGTGTTTGTAGTTTCATTTTGTTCCGAAGATGATTGTGCTGCTGTAGTGGTTTCATTTTCTGTTTCTGATGATGGTGATGCTTCTGAAGGTGTTACTGGAATATCTGTGGAACTACTCGCTTGTTCTGTGGAAGCGCTGGCTTGTTCTGTGGAAGGACTGGCTTGTTCTGTGGAAGGACTGGCTTGTTCTGTGGAAGGACTGGCTTGTTCTGTGGAAGCACTGGCTTGTTCTGTGGAAGGACTGGCTTGTTCTGTGGAAGCACTGGCTTGTTCTGTGGAAGCACTGGCTTGTTCTGTGGAAGCACTAGCTTGCTCTGTAGAAGAACGTATTTGTTCACTTGCAGGAGTTTCAGATTCTTGAGATTGAGGACTTGATATTACATTGCTACTTGCTACAGAGTTATCGGTACTAACTTGTTCTGTGTTTGGCGAATTACTTTCACTAGTAGAAGCTTGTGTTGTGTCAGGGGCGCTACTGCTTGAAGAAACATCATCAATACTGTTGGATTCTTCAGGGCTTGAATTACTCTGACTTATGTCATTTGAACTTTCCGCTGGTGCCAAAATTCTTCCAAGTACATTAATCATACTTTCTTGAGCTTCTGCGTTATCATCACCACTTTCTTTGGCCTCATCTAGGTTTGTGAATGGAGAGTTGCCTAGAGTTTGAAAATAATTTATCATGTTGTGTAAGTCCACAGGATTTTGTAACAAGGGAGATGTATGGGCTGGTAACAACGTGTATCCAGAGGATTGCTGCAGGTTTGAGAATGGTGCAGAATTTAATACACTTGCGTAGTTAGGAGTTGTTGTAGCATCAAGGCTAGTATTTCCCGTTTCTGATGAATTTGCAGCTCTAGGAGCTGGCAGTAAGAGGTTACGGAAAAATTCCAAATGTTGCTCCATCAATTCCTTGGATCCTGGTCCTGTTACAAATGTGACTTCACTGTGGCCTCCATTGGTGTATCGTGTTTGATAAGCAAACCCTCGGAGCATGACATTGGATGGGGTCATCAATGCACCTTCGGAATATATCACCCTGGCTACTGAAGAGGCAGGGTCAGCCGGTGAGAAAAGTGGTGCAAAAGGTGCTGAAGATGGTGCAGTAGCTTGGTATGCATAGTTGAATGCGGGCCTTAGGGGTAAGGTGCGGGGTACTCCAAAACTGGAGTAGGTGTAAGGTAGGAAGCTAGAATATGGCACTGGATAGGCTGAAGTCACAGCTGCAGTAGATGTCAGTACTGCTAGTAGCAGAATCTGCACAGAAAAGAAGCAATCAATTAATTATAACGTGCATAAAATAAGTATATCCTTCTAAAATAATGACAAAGAATAATTTTAGTACTTTTAATTTTAATAACATTATAATACTATTCTAAAATTGTCCAGTATCAAATGTATTTTCAACGTGCTATGTGTTGATGTGTAGAATCATCAACTCTCCAATTTTCCATTTTTTTTAGCTATTGTTGAGATCTATTTTAAACCCTTGTCTTTCTGGCTTGACCCAATGGGATATTCATTTGTCAGAGACTTGTCTTGTTTCTCAGAGGAGTGGTAATGGAGGATTATATATGGATGAAACAATTGTGTAATATTCAATTAATTTATATACTGGTAATCATTACATTGTATTATATATTCTCATTTATAAAATAAAATGAACACAAGTATACATGTTGAATCAGAAAAATGAATAGAATAGTAAGGAGTTGAAATAAGGAAATTAATTGCATCTGCCGACACAGTCGATCAGATGGTAATATTTAAATCGTTGTACTCTGATTATTCACGAAGCAGATCTTGTATTTCCTGAAATTGCAATTTGGTCAATTCTTTGAGTGAGACAGGACAACGACCAACGTTCAATAACTCATTGATTGGATTCACAAAAGGTCAGTGCTAGGCACCTTAGATAACTCGTTTCTGAAGCAGCACTGCACCATATATTCTATTGTTTCACCTAACAATTTATGTTAGTCAAGGTGAACATTGTACTGTGTCAGAGCATATTGTTAACTAATCATCACTCTGCACCGTACGCAAGCCATCAGTTACGGATGACCTTCGAGCTCTTTATGGTCACAAGTTCCTCTCGACTTTTTATAAGAATACCTTGATAATAATCAAGTCATACAGTCTGCTTATCGAGTACTGTATTTAACTGAATTCAAGGTCCTATGAAGTAACGTCTCCCAAAGAAGTCTGATTTGAAGTATCTGTTAACCCTTCTGCAAACTATTATGCATCTCATTTGTGACTTCAAGTGTGGCTTTGAAGTATTCTTCCAATTATTCCCGATTTAGAAAATGCAATTAAATTATGAAAATGCAATTGTAGCATATATTATTGATATGGTATAAAAATGTGGAGAAATGTAAATTTTACATTGAAAGTTCTGCAAATGATCTAACTTTTCAAGTGTTTGGCAAAAGGAGTGCATTCATTTTCCAGCTTGTATTAACTGAGATGTAATTATTTCAATAGATTATTCGTGCGTGAGAATTGCATAGTATAAGAATTGGGAGTTGAGTATGAGGAAGGAATTGATTACTTATTTCTTATTTATTCTGGGATAATGAGCAAAACGTGTATATACTCGCAAACAAATATAGAAGTATCATAGCATTTCAGTTAATATGTATCTCCGCGTCTGAGTGGCTGATTTGGGAACTATTTGGTTCTGGATTCTCACATTCACTGTGTTAATGTGATCTGGCTAAACGTCAATTGACTTTTTTAAAAACCAAAATGTCGATTATCAACTTTTCCTCCATCGAACATTTTTTCTAGTTGTGATGTAGGGTTACTCACTCGGAAGAATATTATTAATTAGTCTGGAATACGTAACAGGAAGTTCATAGCATAATTGTAAATGGAACGAATAAAGTGATTGTATATGTCTTCGTAGTGTATTCGAATTACAATGATATTGCAGACATAATACATGTTTTCTTTAATTTAGATTTTTTCCTACGTACATTTCTTATATACATTTGTTCCATTGACGTGAGCAATTACTTTAATAATTAAGTGCTATGATGGCTAACGGTTTGTTTGTTTATTGCCAGATAATTGACACGCGATTTATGTCGCGAATTATATTTTCAGGTTTTTTAGAGGAAATTTTTATTTTATTCCGGTTAGTAGGGTGTTTGGACGCGACACATTCCATTGCTTGCAAAGTGAAGCCCGGAAAACATCGTGGGTGGACAGAAAATGCCGAGGTTCCATTGCGTTGCTGGAGACTTCGGCCACCTTAATTTGAGCCTTTGTTCCAATAACTGTGAATACATAATTCTGTTAAAATCTAAATAGATTTATGATCATACCGGAGGCAATAGCTTAATTATTTAACATAAACAGCCAAATTCTGGTTACGCGTGAAGTACGACCTTACAACCTGTGCGCACTTTCAAGACTTTGGAATCCATACTACTTTAAATTGAATTGCCATAGCACTAAACTTAATCGGCTGTAGTGAAAACTTACGAGGTCGAAACAGTTTCATCCTTTGAATCTCCTAAATATGTTCGTCTTTTAAAAACGAAATCCGTATGAAACTTTAGTAATATTATCTGAAAATTGTAAGCGTAATTATGTTCATGAAAATGTGTTTGCATATTGGTTAAAAAGTTGAGTTAGGTTGTGAATGTTCCTGTTTTAATATTATTGTATTTAAGTTTGTTTTGTATTCTGTTATTGCTAAAGACGCTATATTTATAGTGTAACGGTATTTATAATTAATTATCACTGAAAAATCCACGTAAGACTGTGAGTGCACAGTTTCTTCGCCCATTGTTCTGATGAAACAATTGCAAAAAATGTATATTCATAAAAAAGTTGATTTGTGATTAAAGGTAGCAACGAGCGTTTTTGGTAAAATATATCAACAATAAATGTTCTGTCCCGAGCATTAGAAACTATTTGTATTGGCAAATGTGAGCCAGTTATTCGGCGTCGTGAAATTGCGCACCTTACACCGATCTTTTTGGAATGTAATGGTGCTGAGAGGAAAATTAGGCACGTGGACGCATGTATGGATTTGCAGGATTGTTGCAGGTGTCCCTTCCCCGGGGAAATATACGTAGTATCGTAATATAATCTCATAAAAGTAGAATAGCCGATATGGATTGATGAGACGGCAAAGAGCGTGTTCCAACTTTGCTCTTCAGTCCGAAGGGTCACGGGTTTGAGTCCCGCTTTGGGCAATCTTGTCCCTTGTCTCTCATGTATGTGTTGTTGCGGAGGACCTCTCGTTCTGCTGATTCCAGATCAGAGTAGCCAGCAAGTGTGTTGGTGTGTAGTGTATGGTCGAATATGCGCCCCCTTGAGACGCAAAGGGTAACCGGTTTTCGGCTGGATAAAATCCCGTGGGGGGGGGGGAAGTAGAATAAGCTATTGATTACCACTAATTATATGTGGCGATTTTTTTTAAATAGTGGGGTCTTTGTAATAAAGTTAACATTTTTATTCCATATGGCTAAACCGAAGGTCTTTAAGTAATTACATTAGAACGTAAATTTCTAATCTTCCATTCACAAGCCTCGCCTCTCTTCAGAGGATCTCTCAATCTATCGCATGAAATTCGCGCGAAAGAGACCTTACGGAAAATGGAAAACGCCCCTGGGGCAAACGGAAAGAGGTCGCCAAAAAGATCCTACGGCAAAAAGAGACTATGGTAAATGGGTGGAAACTTTTGTGGAAAGCGTACAGCTCGCTTATGATTTTCGGAAACAGGCCGAATGGTAAGAGAGCCCCCGCCCCACACTAGTTCCATGGTTATTGCCCCTCGTCCCTGCCTGGCCTTGTATCCCGCCGCCGCCCCGTCGCGGTGGCCACCTCGCGAGGTGTGGGCGCGGCGCGGCGCCGCGCCGCGCGGAGCGGAGCGGAGCGTCTGGTCGTCGGCGAAAAAAGCGGTCTTCGTTGATGTAACCTTGGGCGTGGCGTTTTGTAATGGCGCACCGTTAGGCGGGCTGCGCGTCACGTTTATTGCCCGACTTCTTGGAGCTTTTTACCCCCCCTCCTTTTTTTCTCTTTCCTCGTCTTGCACAGAAGGTGGGCCGTGGAATGCACGTGAGTGTGCGGTTTTTTTCTTTTGAGCGGGGTCGGTATTCGCGACGATTCTTTAACAGCCCTCATCCATCCAGCCCTTTCGCTTTCTAGAGGAGGGAATGGTACCCGGGATTTTCCTTACGACAAATGGGTGCTTAAAGTGTTTGAGTGCCTGGTGATTGGTCACTGTGGGCCAGATGATCGTAAATGACTTTCAGAACTAAAAATTGGATCCGTATTTATTTTTTTGGTTAATGTATGGGTAACTTTGTGAAAATTTTAAGATTTTTTAAAATATTGATTGAGAAGATAATTTGATAGAAATCAAACTACTTAAAACAAAATGGCGAAAACTAAAGCTTACTTGTCTTCCACTCAAATTAAGAATATTGCTACCAGAAAAAGACGTTCAGGTTCTTACGATGTTCAGGTTACCTTAGTTAGAACTGTTCATTTTGACGAAATGTGATCATTTTTTAAACGGTCTGTTTAGATAATTAATATTTTGTTTACTGTAATCCTTCAAGAATGTTATACAAAAGGTATTGCGATAGTGTGTTAGAACGTGAGAAATCGACTTCCCACAAAGAACTAAATATATCTCTTTAACTGTTAAAGGCTTTATGGCGTTCCTGAAGTGTCTTTAGATGTTACGTTACTTTCACTGACAGTAAATCTCTCACTGTAGTCAAGTGTGTGTGTGTGTGGGGGGGGGGGAGGTGCTCGATTTTCTCTCCATGCACCTTGCAGCAAGGGACTCTGGTTCGAGTACCGGTCCAGCGGGAAACGGAGAGGTTGCGAAGCTGCCGAACGCTTTTTTTCCCATTCCTCTTCTCACCGCATAAGCTTTTTACTGAGAAATATTAGTTAAGGAGATGTAGGACTTAATGGTATGAAACGTTAGTGTAGAAAAACAGCACTATCATTTGAATTACGTTATCGTATGGATGCGATAACTTGAAGCCATTAGTGGATGTAGAGGAAAAAGTGCTGCTGAACAAAACCACACAATATGATTTTCCAAAAGTTAGACGCACTCTGCTCCAGAACAACAGATAAAATACTCTCGGATATCACTGCAATAAAATAAATATTTAAACAAAAACAGCATCTTCGAATACTGCAATAATATAGAATAGTATATATGGTTACACAGCACAAGGAAATATTTAATGAGACGACCACTTTCTGGGAGCCTTGTCAGGACGTCAGCTGCATCGTAAAAAGTGACGCAGATGTGTATGATAATTCAGTCGGTACGTGCAGTATGAAAGTAATGGAATAACAGAATCCAATATTTGCATTTTCAGTCAAAATCGTAATTGTTTTGTTGTCTTTGGATTTTTCCCGAGTTCCTGAGTATCTAACCTCCCACGTGCCGGGCAGTTGCTTAGTATATTTCCAATTTCTGAGCGCTTTGGAAATTGGGAATAAAGATGCGTGGACAGATTTGGAAAATAGATTTGTGAAATGTAAATCAACGAAAATTTATACTCTCAAATTTTAAATTGTTGAAAATGAGTGCATATACGCTTCAGGATTAACTATTTCTATAAACATTGTATGTAGAACTCCAGGGTAGGACTTTAGCTTATACCAAATAGCCGCCTGAAGCAGCTAAGATATTTTGAGTAAGCAGTCTTGATAGTCATTTTCCGTTTCCTATAATGTTTTTGAATGCTGTGATGTAAAATTTGGAAACATTGTGGATATAGATTGATAATTTCTGACTCTTGGTTTAAGGTATATTTTTTTAATGGCCATATCTATGACTTTACACAATTGCAGAAAAATGATAATGGTGACTCAATACTGTATAGAAAAATGTTGCTTTATTCTTGTGTATCTTCACTCTGTGACGAATCAGAACAATTTTGCTTCCACACATTCAAATATTTAGGCATTGAGTTCACTTCGTTTTGTTCATTTGAATTGTGTGGCGACTTTAGGAACGCGATTTATCAAACGAAAGTTTGCGAATAAATTATTCACGAAAAATTAGATATTGAATGTGTTGTGATCGTGACTTAAGTTAATCACCACCAATGCGTTATAAACTCATGTTGACTATTTCACGGAAGATTTATAATAATATTGAAACAGTTTATTGTTCTAGAACTTTCGTAATTTCGTGTGCCATGCCATTTCTTCATGCTCTTGATTGACATAATAATCAACCAACTCGGAACAAAGAAACACTAACGAAAAATCTTGTAACGCGTTGTGTAAGAGGGCGAGTCCGTTAATCTTGCAGACCTGAATCTACTGGGGAGGTGATTTAAAACATAATTAGTGTAACGATAATTATTAGAAAATAATTCCATTCATTGGAGCAATAATTCGTAGCGGATAATTTGAGCACATCTAAAACTGGACAGCGCCGCGCGGAGGTAAAATTTTGAGTTGCCCAAATTAGTTTAAGTTTTCGGTAGTGAAATTTGTTGTATGAACTTGCAGGACGCTGACAAAACTAAGCCTTGCATGGGCAAGCAGAATCAGTAAAAATTGCTCTTTATGATAGAGAATTAACTATGTATTAGATTAAATATTAAAAAATTGATTACGTTCAAAATGCTGATCCTTATAATTTTGAGATGAATTTAAGACGAATTAGGTATCAAAGCCGTTAAGTGCCGTAATGCTACTTTCTAGTTACTGATTATTTCTGTTTAAATGAATTATTTTCAGGAATTTGGTACACACAGCGATGTCATAGTATACTTCATCCTCATAGTATACCTCGTACTTTGAAGTACGTAATTATAAGATTGCTTCTTGCTTTACAGTCTCAGGAATGATTGAACTAAGATAAATTTTCTCAGTAAATAGAAAGTAGTTTATTGGCGCTTACCACCTTTCAGAACTGGTTTTCAATTGGTGTTCATTGACGGAAAAACACATGAACACACGGTAGTAAGCTCCCGTGATCACACTATTTCCGATAGTTCGACGTGCTTGTTCGCTGATACACGCTTCACACTGTTAACGGTCACACACACAATGCCATTCGCACGAACAACAAGATTAGACGCCGACGCGCACTTGAGAAACACCGGCCTCCGAATGCAAGTGGGTTGCCCAAGCGACCGAATTAAGTACCTGCCTTTCGAGCCAAGAAAGATATATGCAAGTGCAAATTCGCCGCCCAGCCAATTTGACTCGTTATGGAAACGTTTTTGCGTCCACGATTAGCGTGCTCTTGAAATGGCCCAAAACGAAAGGCAAGTCGTCGGTGCGCGTAAGGTCATTGTGGGAGTACGGGCCGGCTCCACGTGGACGCGTGCTGCCAGCTGATGCCCTGCTGGGAATTAATTGTTTGGAGGTTACGTTCAAAAGAAACAAAAGTGAATACAAACCTGAATTTGTGTCCAAGACTCCGGTTTGCAATTCCCGAATTCATTAGTTTGGCGAAATATTTTATTCATTGTCAAGAAACGGATGATACACACGAGGCTGATGCATTGGCTGGAGTGAATTATTTTACGGTTTTGCGAAAGAGAAAAATGAACACAAACCTGAATTTGTATCTGGGGCTTCGGTTTTCAATACTAAAATTTGATAACTGTTTTGTGAGTTTTTATTTATTGTCGAGCAATGGATTTCGTTTATACTCCAAATTTTGAAATCTTTGAGCTTCCAATACATCCTATCATACGAGGTAGTAACCATTAATTTGTTTGCAATAACACTGGCACGTCAGACAAAAATTACGCGCTGATGGCTCACAGGTGGGTTAGCCGCAGTCCAGAAAAATAGTATATTTTCGAGCTATATTTTGTTCATCGAATTTTGGAAACTTCAAGGGCGCATGTTGAGGTATCCCTGAAGTTGATGAATAATATCGTTATTTATTTTTTTACTTGCGATGATCAACATTTATATACAAGGTTACTTACGCAAGTGGTAGTTTCCATGGTCGGGCTATTCAAGGCGCACGTTGTGTCCGGTTCCACCGGGGCACTCAAAATTTTCTTAGTAACACCCTAGTAACACTTGAGTAAGCATGCAACTGACCGAGGACCGGTGTTCGTAACGCTTATATAGAATGAGATGTGTTCCCCGAAGCCCCTCCCCGAAGTTCCTAGCAAGTGACCTGAATATGAAGTCCCCCCGCCGCGTCCCGCCCCGCCCCGTGCCCCCTTCCCCCGTTCGCGCGGCCCACCGCGGCGGGGGCCCGGACTCTGTCCCGCGCCGGGGGCTGGGCGCCCAGAGCGACTTTTTTCTCTCTCTCGCGCGCGCGCGGGCGTGCACTTGCCGCCCGGCTGCCGCCGCGGCTACGGTATGTCACCCGGGGCGCCCTCGCCGCCGCTTCGGGGCTCGCCGGAACAGCTGCAGCGGGAGCAGGAGGCAAGAGTGATGGCTCGTTCTGGAATTGAGCCAAGGTTACTTCCAAAATGTGAAAAACTGAAGTACGGTCGCGCTGCGCGTAAACCTGATGATGTTCGCGTCGATGTTTGTCCGGAGTATTCAGGAGTACGCGGCATGCGCGGAGAAACGTCAAGTGGAAGATAAGTGAATACCAGGCACAACATAATAGACGCCATGTTGCTCACACAGACGTTTGAGGTATACCCAAACTATTAAAATAGATGGTTACGAGGAAGTAGGCAAAAAAGGAATACTCTTGCTGCAGTGCGTTGCGGGTTCGGCAAAGGTGTCCATGGCCTCCTCCCCAGAGCCAAAAGCGATCGAACCACGCTTCAGGGAGCGAAAACGTTTTGGGCCCTGCGCTAGTGGATGCACAAAGCTCCTGCCCCCGCCGTCGATCATTTTCTCTTCGCCGACGGCGCAACCGTTGCCCAAAGGTTCATCCCCCCACCCCCACCGTAGTGCGACGCCAGTTGGGATTGGGGTGCTTAAGAAAACGTGCAGGTTGTACTTTCCCTCCCATACATCAAATACGGCTTGTACCATCCCCCCCCCCACTGTAAAGGTAGTAAAAAATATATAATTTGCTTTTGGAAGGAGCTCGCTCAACGAACATACGAGCAAGGATGTGAAACTAAATTAACAGAAATACACTTTTCGTTTCGTTCTAAAAGAAAATTAATTTTCTATTTCGTAACAAAACTATTTTTTCTCGTTTCATTTCTAACAAATAAAATTAAATACAGTCTTTGAAATCTCCGACGTTTCGTTTTACATGCTTGCATTCCAGATTAAACTGGCAGAACTATTCATGTTACGTTTGTGGAAACTGTCGCGAACATTGTAGGTAATCCTTGTATTTTTCTCATAATTGGATGTGAGACTGGTTGAATTTATTTATGAAATTCAGTGTTTTACTTAACATCTGCAAGTACAGTATTAAGGTAGGTTATATATTTTGGGAATGGCTTCAGTCATGAAGCACGCCCTTTAGCCCATGTGCCTGTCCAACCTCTTACCTTCAAGATACCATCAATCCCTCTCATCGGTCGGAATAAAACTAGTTTCTTGGAGAATGGGGCCCTTTTTGGGAAATGCCGCATTGTAAATGCGTAAGTTTCAAGCCAACTCTATTTTCGCCAATGCAATTCAACTTTAATTTGGGAGACATTTAATAGCAACTAAAGGCGAAAATTTCAATGAACATTAATAGCTTGAACATTACATATTTAAGTAATATGAAATGTACCAATGTGTGGAAATGTTGGTTGCCTAGGAAAGATGGCTCTTTGGAACTGCCGTTCGTCTGCGCCCTGCCTGTTTCCTGTTCGTCGAGCCTTGGAGCAGTTTGCGTAATCGCGGATCGCTCTGCTGTTTCTTTGAACATTCTCCATCGTTCCGTTGTTTTTTCGTCAGTTTTACCTGTATTCCCCGTCCGCCTTCACAAGTTTCATACCTTGTGGTTTTTATACGTTTGGCTACATCCGGGATCGATTTGAAGGTGCGTCTTTCCCTTCAAAGAGGCTTGTTTGCTTCCCCCGCTTTTCGCGGTATGTGCTGCCCCTCCCGAAACTTTTATTTCTGCTGTCGTCTCCGTGTGTGGGGTATTTCAGTCGTTTTACTAACTTGTTGCGGTTAAATGTCTGATTTTCCACTCTTCCTTCTCGTTCGACTGCTAAACACTTGCTCGCCTTTTCCGCTCTCTTCTATGAGTATTTTCTAAACAAAATGACGTTACTTATTTGTATTTTTTCTCGGGGATATCCCCATCGCATGTCGTTTGCTCCCTCATTTCTTACCTTTTATCCATATACTAGTTCTCGCCTCTGCTCACCTCCCTTGGCGAAGATAAATCAGATTGAATCTAATCCCCCTTCATTCCTTTCCCGTTCTTTGTCATGGTCTCGTTCCATTGTTGACTTTCCATCGCCGTTCCCGTTACCCTCTTTCATCATTCATATTCATCCCTTGACTTTATCTTTTTCCGCTTTCCGTTTTCTCCTTTATCTTCTTTCTCCTCGCTAACTGCTACCCGACTCTATATGCACGTTTTCCATCCGTTGATCAATTCTTCTGAAGATACTTCACATCGCGAGCTCTCAGTTTCACCGCCCCCGCCCATCTTAATATCGTTATTACGTAGCCCCTACTGTTTCTTACACATGTCCTTGGTGATTTGCTTTCGGCCTTGACCCTGCCTTTGCCCCCACCGATTCTCGCCGCTCTCCCAGCTGGTACTCTAGCGTGGCGACATTGCCTCCCCCGTCACAGAGTCGCTTTGGCAGAACAATGTGTCTGCACAATACATGTTACGTTTGTTTCCTCAATTTTTAGGCGACAAATAACACTTCTGCCTCGTTTTCGTATTGCTAATTATGAATCATGTGCGTGAGGGGTTTAATGTAGTCAACAATGACCATTTTTCTGCTAATTTCGTTTGCTGCATTTTAAATACTTTTTTCCAGCGTGTTATACAAGGCGTACGCTCCTTGAATTGCAACAGAAATCTCAGTTTCACTCTAGCGCACCGGTCCGCTCCGGGAAATGAGTAGGATGAAGGGAGGTAGTGGCCCTGCGGATGACCCGGGTAATTTCCGGCCCATGATGCCCTAAATCCTGTGACGACTACTTCGGCGCAAGTGTATCGAACCGCTACGGTATAGAGGAATTACTTTAAGAAGGGACCACGTTGACAGGTTGGGTGATGACTTGGCAAGTGATAGTGAAGAAGACATTTTCAAATTTACAATGAGGTAACTGTAAACCAGCGCACTGAAAATAAATGCATGGACGTAACGTGCAGTTATGTTGTCAGCAATGGCCAATTAGTAGCTGTCAAAGCGGTCCCTTCTTATATACTCACAACGGCCAGGAATGACAGTTGAAAGGGGTGATACAAGGTGGGTATGTGGGTTCCACGATGCCACCACACACAAGCTATCACCATGCCTGAGGTGGCAGTCGAACTCTCATTCCTTCGTGTGGAAACTGCTGAAGCACAACGCTTTAGCGATCTGGGCAGTTCGCCTTGATTGTGGGGTGTTTGTTTCTTAATTGAACTATCACATAAGAACTCGCCACGGAGTTCTTATGTGTAGTTCCTTTGAGGATTTTGAGTAGAAGGGAGGATTTTTCAAGGTCCGGTAAGGAAACAAATCATTCAGAAATTCGCGTTATTGGTTGTTCCAGTATCTGTCTAGAGTGGCTGGGGGAATCGTGAACGCTGTCGGGCGTTGACGACCTTATTCTGCATGTCAGACGCACCCAGGAATTAGGCTTTGCGAAATTTCGCGTTCGTTCGGACTCGAGCAGGGAATGTTGAGATTGAGAACTGCTGTTTACCCCCTTTATTCTTCGGGTGGATATCGAAGCAAAAAGTGTTGTAACGTTCCTCCAAGTTGCTCATAGAAGTAACGTGAAGATTACAAAGTCAGTAATGGTCTGAATCGAGAATTAAGTGTTGCGATCGGCGTAACGCCAGAAGTGCAGTCTCGATCATTGTAATGATCTCGAAATGACTGGATCTTGTGATTGCGATATGACCCTAAGCCTCTCGGCGTAGATTGAAAGAGTTATATCTGTAAAAATGTGAGGTCATTTTCACTTGAGAGCAGTGGCGGACTCACTCATTAATAGCTACTGTGATATGTGCTTTCACCTGCACAAGGTCGCTGCCGATGGCTCTCGTGAAATGAATGCATTTATATGTCGAACTCATATTTCACCGTCAGCTTTCTACTCTATTATCATTTGCAAAACTCTGGCCACTGAGTCATGGTGTTTTGTTATAGACTTGTCTCTTTCCTAACTCTCTCAATACTACTCCTATATTGTGAAGTTTCTGAAGTGGTTTGATCTTTGCCTTTTAACAATTATTTGTATTTTTTATTTTAGTTATTTGACGTCAAAACAGTTATAACTGTGACGTTCTAGGGTAGAAGTGTATTTTGTGTACGTTTTCGAAAATTCTGTAATCCCTACCCTACCCCATATACAAGTTCAATTCTGAATACAGATGGAAACGAGCGTTTTCGCAAGAATTGATACATATTCGCTCCTGAAAAAAACATGTTTTGGTAATGGCAAATCAGCTGCAGATTATTATCCTTCGTGTCCTTCGTGAAGGAATTGACCTACTGCCGCGAGAATATAGAGAACGTTTATTTAAAATAACCCCTCTGAAGAAAAAGGACACAGGTAGTGGGGTTACATTTTTATCCAGAAGCAAAACGAGGAGCCGCCTCAGAATTCGCTAAAAGGATCAGGGAAACTGGACGATACACTTTATCGAGATGGTGTCATTGACCCAGAAGCTGAGATACAATACTTGTTACTGGCTCATTTAGTCTTTTAGTATATTGTCTCTATTTGTATAGAAATGGTTATGCAGCAGAAAATATTTTACTTGGTATGCAAACATGTATATCGATTTTAGTCGGTTAATGTCATCTTGCAATGGTTGTAATATAACGTACACGTATTATATGTGATTTTTTTTTTTTTTTTTTGCGGTGAGCTGTTGATGCTGACACTTCATTAATATGATTACTACGTCGAGTGTTATAGACATCTATATTCACTGAAAATATGTCCGTTGTTAATAGGAAGTTTGAAGAATAATTATTTTTATCTCACCCGGCTGCTTGATTAATTATGCATTCACTAGCTCGCCCATTTTTTCCCTTTCATTTCTCATTACTTTTTCTCTCTCTGGTGG